CTATGGTGCAGTGCTGAGTTTATGGTGCAGTGTTGAGTCTATGGTGCAGTGTTGAGTCTATGGTGCAGTGCTGAGTCTATGGGCAGTGTTGAGTCTATGGTGCAGTGTTGAGTCTATGGTGCAGTGTTGAGTCTATGGGCAGTGTTGAGTCTATGGTGCAGTGTTGAGTCTAAGGTGCAGTGTTGAGTCTATGGTGCAGTGTTGAGTCTATGGTACAGTGTTGAGTCTATGGTGCAATGTTGAGTCTTTCGTGCAGTGTTGAGTCCATGGTGCAGTGTTGAGTCTATGGTGCAGTGCTGAGTCTATGGGCAGTGTTAAGTCTATGGTGCAGTGCTGAGTCTATGGTGCAGTGTTGAGTCTATGGGCAGTGCTGAGTCTATGGTGCAGTGTTGAGTCTATGGTACAGTGTTGAATCTGTGGTGCAGTGGCTGAGTTTATTGTGCAGTGTTGAGTCTATGGTGCAGTGTTGAGTCTATGGTGCAGTGCTGAGTCTATGGGCAGTGTTGAGTCTATGGTGCAGTGTTGAGTCTATGGGCAGTGTTGAGTCTTTGGTGCAGTGTTGAGTCTATGGTACAGTGTTGAGTCTATGGTGCAGTGTTGAGTCTGTGGTGCAGTGGCTGAGTTTATGGTGCAATGTTGAGTCTATGGTGCAGTGTTGAGTCTATGGTGCAGTGTTGAGTCTATGGGCAGTGTTGAGTCTATGGTGCAGAGTTGAGTCTATGGTACAGTGTTGAATCTGTGGTGCAGTGGCTGAGTTTATGGTGCAATGTTGAGTCTATTGTTCAGTGCTGAGTCTATGGGCAGTGTTATTCGATCCCGACCCTGACGCCACGGTGGCTAGGAGATGTTAGCTACCTCGCCTGATATACAGGAGGTCGTGAGTGCGATCCCGACCGTGGGCGATGCCTGTTGCTGTATATTTGGAGTTTGCGTGTCTCTCTCTCTCTCCCCGTGGTCGCGTGGAATTTTCTCTGGGTCCTCCGGTTCCCCCCCCCCCCACCTCCACATTTAGAATCAACCTCACCACGCGTTAAGAACATTTGGCTGCCGCTATACATTTCCACTTGATGATGTTATCAACCAGTTCGTGCGAGCCATCATTTGCGGCCGCGAGGTTTCGACCGCAACACAAGCAATCATCATCAGGTGGGAAAACCACAGTTATACCCACGTGACTTTACCGAAAGAACCAGAGAGTATGGGTCCCAGCAGTCACGAAAGCTTCAAATCTAGATAGGGCTACGTAGCTCAGTGGTAAGGGCCTTACACATGGTAAAAGAACAACAAAAAAACAACAACATAGTTTAGTTCATAATTCAATTGTCCATTTGTGCATCAGCTATGATCTGCAGCTGCAGCTGCTGCCCGATTGTGGAGTTTTTTTTTTTTTGGGTGGCACCACGAGCAGCTTTCGTGGAAGGTCACAAACCACCCCGGGGTCAAGGCCGTCCATAAATGACGTCACGCGATTTTGGGACGAATTTTGACCCCCCACCCCTTCGTCACACGGCGTCACAAAAAGTCAGACCCCCCTCAAATATGACGTCACAAAGCTCTGCCCCCACCCCCCCCCCCCCAAAAAAAAAAACATGCTTCAAATCGTATTCTTGGTTCTTTTGGTAAATTCACGTAGAAGGGAAACAATAAAATAATAAAAATATAAAACAATAAAATTCTCACGACGTTTCAACTGAAACACAAGCAATCATCATCAGGTGTGAAAACGAAATTTTTCTTGCTGTGGTTTTCACACCTGATGATGATTGCTTGTGTTGCAGTCGAAACGTTGTGAGAATTTTATTGTTTTATATTTTTTATTATTTCCCTTCTACGTGACTTTACCGAAAGAACCAAGAATATGAATCCCTGCAGTCACGAAAGCTTTAAATCAAAATTTATGCTTCAAATCGCTTTAAACTATTGTCATTGTTGTGCGTATTTAATGTGGCGCTGCACTCTGATGTTGTAGGAGAAAACTTTTATTAAAAAGTCCATTTAATTAAGTAGAACGTATTGCCTATATTTATTTAAAGTTGCCGCATTTTGATATGACGTCACATTTCTCAACCCCCTCCCTCGTCACACATCGTCACAAATGTCTGACCCCACCCCCTAGGTGCGTGACGTCATTTATGGACGGTCCCTATTCTGTTTAACACGCAGTAGGCTGTCAAAACCAATATCATCCATAAGAGGTTTCTTTTGGGGATAGATCACGGCGTAAAAATATAAATGTGTCGTCAAAGCCCCGCCACCACCCGACACAGCCAACTAGTAAGGGTTGTCACGTGAACAGAACGTGGCCAATTCGAACGTGCCAAATCTGGCTGTCACCTGATGAAGCTGCTTGTAATAATTGGCGAAACGTCGTACTCAGACTGTAGATGTTGTGGCTTGGCTCTCCAACACACCGGTGTGCTGTACTACACTATACACTACTATACACTACACTGTACACTACATACTACACTACATACTACACTATACACCACTATACACTACACTATACACTACTATACACCTCACTATACACTACTATATACTACACTATGCTATACGCTAGTGCTGTACTAGTGACGAATTGGCCACGTTCTGTTTACGTGACAACTCTTACTAATTGAGCTGTGTCGGGTGGTGGCGGGTTTTAACGACACACATTTATAAAAAAAAAAACCTCTATTATGAAGGATATTCTGCCATGTGGAAATTCACAGGCTGGGACTGGGCGTTGGGAATAGATCAATAATCGATCAAAGCCCATTGCCATCTTTAGTCGTCCGTTACCGCCACCCCCTGGACTCGAGTCGCACCCCGCTCGCAGGAATGGGGCCGATTCTTGGAGGAGAAGTTCCACAGCCGAAGCGCCCGCGATGGATGAGAGCCCTCGGAGGTGACCTTTGGTCGAGCCACCGCCTCCCCCTGCGCCAACCCGCAGACATCGCGAGCTCGCTCAGACCTCGGGGGTCAGGTCGGTGATGGTAGTGGTGCTGTGGGGGGGTGTGTGCGTGTGGTAGTGTGGGGTGAGTGTGTGGTGTGTAGTAGTGTGTGATGTGTGTATGGTGTGTATGTAGAGTGTGTGGTGTGTGTGGTGAGTGTGTGGTGTGTATGTAGTGTGTGTGGTGAGTGTGTGGTGTGTGTGTGGTGTGTATGTAGAGTGTGTGGTGTGTGTGGTGTGTATGTAGAGTGTGTGGTGTGTGTGTGGTGTGTATGTAGAGTGTGTGGTGTGTGTGTGTGGTGTGTATGTAGAGTGTGTGGTGTGTGTGTGTGGTGTGTATGTAGAGTGTGTGGTGAGTGTGTGATGTGTGTGGTGAGTGTGTGGTGTGTAAGTAGTGTGTGTGGTGAGTGTGTGGTGAGTGTGCAGTGTGTTGGGTATGTGTGTAGCGTGTGGTAGTGTGGTGTGTGTGGTTAGGGAAGCGGTGGTGTAGCGCTTAGCGTGCTAGTTTAGTTTTACTGCCCATCGACTGGTCACCTTGCATGCAGGAGAACAGTAGTCTCGCACTGCATGCGCGGCCAGATTAACCCATACTGTAGGTTAGCAATGCCGTAGGCTCACATGTTTTATATGTATGTTCAACTTCTTTACCGTACGTAGCCAACCGTGCTAATTGGAGATGCGGGGAAGGACAGCAAACTAAACACAAGAACAACAAGAAGTTCGAAAGAAGTCCGTTTTCTATTTAGTGTAGTAGTGTAGTGTATAGTATCGTGTATAGTGTAGTGTATAGTAGTGTAGTGTATAGTGTAGTGTATAGTATCGTGTATAGTGTAGTGTATAGTAGTGTCGTGTATAGTGTGGAGTAGTGCAGTGTATAGTGTAGTGTTTAGTGCAGTGTATGTGTATTGTTTAGTGCAGTGTATATTGTAGTGTATAGCGATGTAGTGTATAATAGTAGTATATAGTGTAGTGTATAGTAGTGTTGTGTCTAGTGAGTGTAGTGTATAGTGAGTGTAGTGTATAGTGTGAAGTAGTGTAGTGTGCAGTGGTGTAGTGTATCGTGTAGTGCTTAGTGTCGTGTATAGTGTAGTGTATAGTAGTCTAGTGTATAGTGAGTGTAGTGTATAGTGTGAAGTAATGTAGTGTGCAGTAGTGTAGTGTGTCGTGTAGTGTATAGTGTAGTGTTTAGTGTAGTGTATAGCGATGTAGTGTATAGTGTCATATGTATAGTGTGTAGTTGTATAGTGTGCAGTAGTGTCGTTCATAGTGTATGTATGTTCAACTTCTTTCGCACCGTACATAGCGAACCATGCGAATTGGAAGGGTGCGGGGGAAGGACAACAAACCACACACAATAACAACAGCAAGCAGCAGTTCTTAAGAGATGAGTTTGTCAATCTAGATGATGATTTACAAGTGAACCTTATGGCGGGACCCCGGCTCTTGCATAACGTCATTTTACGTCTGTTGATGGCGAACGATACGGCAATCTATTCCTCTTGACGAGCTCTACACGATGCGCTCATCAAAGTTTCAAAGTTTTGTTTCTTCCGCGCATTCGTCCTCGCTGCGCTTGGACGACACGACAACAGAATGATCCGCGCCAGGTGGGTCACGGCGTTAATGTGTGCGGTGGGACGGAGTCGCCAAAAATAAACAAATTAATGACGATTTAAAGCTTTCGTGACTGCAATGATTCCACTCCAGCGCTGTCCTACCAGGCAGTCTCATCCCTTCACTTGATGAAGGCTGCTTGTGTTGTGGCCGAAACGTCGTGAGAATATTATTGTGTTATTTTATTTTATCAATTTATTATTTTATTCTCATTCTACGTGATTTTACCGAAAGAACCAAAGAAGAGAAATTAATGACGATTTGGACTTCCGTTTATTCGGGACCCCGGGGTCCCGCCATGAGGTTCAAGTGTAGCATAGCTGCCAGCGGCTTCCTAATCTCGGAAGGGAAGAGCGTTCCAGACGGCCACTGAAGCGGTAGCAGCATCCGAAAAGCACCGCTCGACGATGCGGTGAGCACCGTCTTTGTTCGATGGCTGAGCGAGAAGCCGAGTGCTGAGATCAGCGAGGTAATGTGTTTCATATGTGGCAAGCGCTTTGTGTGTGTAATGAGTGCGACCTTATAACTAATGCTGTATTCGTTCGGAATCCGTACCCGGGTAAAGGTGAACTCACCTCGTAATCAAGAGGAGGAGGTGGTGGTGGTGATGACGAGTCGTACTCAGCAGCTGCTTGTCGACGCTCTGTTGAAAACAAAACACAATTGCACGCTGCTACCGGCGATACGTATCCCATGGACAGTGCCGTCGATTCTTAAAGATGATTATTATTTTATTCAGCTGAGCAAAGTGTAGCTCGAATTGGTCGATATCATCGTCATGTGAACATTCATAGTAGCAGACCAAATACTCGAAACACGTGTTTTTAAATGTGGAAGGAAATACCGAAGGACCCGGAAAAAATCCACTCGACCATCACGGGGAGAGAGACAGAGACGCGGAGACTCCAAATGTACAAAAGGCACCAGGATCGGGATCGAGCCCTGGACCTCATGCTAACCAGGCGAGGTAGTTAACATCTCCTAGCATACCGTGGGCTTTAGGGTTCGGGATCGAACCAACGTCTCCTGAATACCAGGCGAGGTAGTTAACATCTCCTAGCACACTGTAGGCTTCAGGGTCCAGAATCGAACCCATGTCTCCTGTATACCAGGTGAGGTAGTTAACATCTCCGAGCACAACGTGGGCGTCAGGGTCCTGGGTCGAACTCTCGACCTCCTGTATTCCAGGCGAGGTAGTTAACATCTCCTAGCCACCACGGCGCCCTTGTGGATTGCATACGGATGTGAGTGATTGTCATAGTCTAACCCAAATGCCCGAGCTTAGTGCCCAGCCATGGCTAACATCAGTAGCGAGTGATATTTGAACCAGTCCTGGGCCTCCTCCCCTAGCTCGACTCGGCCTCAAATGAGTGTGGCGGTGTGAAGTAGCAAACATCGCCGTGGCGGCCTTCATAGGCGCTCCGTGGGTTCGATCCCAATCCTGACGCCACGGTGACTAGGAGATGTTAACTACCTCGCCTGGTATACAGGAGGTCGTGAGTTCGATCCCGACCGTGACGATGCCTATTGCATATTTAGAGATTTCGTGTCTCTCTCTCTCTCTCCCCCCATGGTGGTGACTGCATCAATTTTTACGCGGGTCCTCCGTTTTTCCCCTCCACATTTAGAATCAACATCGAGCGCTAAGAGTGTTTGGCTGGTGCTATGAATGTCCATGTGTGTAGGTGCAGTCTCTTCTCCTATAACGCCGCGCGTTGTTTTCACGACACGACTTAGATATCACGCGATGATGAATGTATCCTAGGGAACACATTGTTCTATAACGCGGATGCGAATTTAATGTATAACGCGATCGAGCGAACAGAGGTACGTCACAGTGCAAGTAGGAACAAGCGGTGGTCGTAACGGCTGTCTCAGCGTTGCATCATCATCATCACCATCACACGAGGCATTGGGATGCTGCTGGATGCTTCTAGATCTAATTCGGTGTTCTACGAGAACGTGACTTCTACTAACCGCGTTATAGGAGAACAACAGACTGTAACGGGCAAACGTCCCTTTATTAACGATACGACACAACGGAGACCTCCTCCTTCAGAAGGAGATTTGCCACATCAGTGTTATTATTATTATTATTGACGGTGATGATTTGAGACACCGCACGTTGAAACCTGTCAATAATTTGCTTGTGTTGAATGAATTCTGATTGAATTGTCCTCTCTGCCAGAAGGTTGAAATGTGTAATTGTGGCAGAATCGTCCGCTTAAGTGATAACACTGCGTCGACAACGTTCCTTCAAATATTATTCATGCATTTTTAAAATCTAGATTTACAAACTCATTTCTTTAGAACTGCTGATTTGTGTTGTGTAGAGTTTGTTTTCCTCACCCCTGTACCTCCGATTAGCGCAGTCAGCTATGTACGGTGCAAAATAAGTTGAACACTACATACCATACTAAACACTAAGCTACACACAACACTATAAACCACACTATGATACAAAACGCTATTATACAGTGAGCTACTACTATACAATACAGTACTATACACTACACTATACACTACACTATATACTACACTATAAACTACACTACTATACAAAACGCTATTATACACTGAGCTACTACTATAAAATACAGTACTATACACTACACTATACACTACACTATATACTACACTATAAACTACACTACTATACAAAACGCTATTATACACTGAGCTACTACTATAAAATACAGTACTATACACTACACTATACAGTACACGACATACTACACTAAACACTACGCTACACACTACACTATACACTACACTACTATACATCATGCGATTATACACAATGCTACTACTATACACGACATTACTATACACTACACTACTATAGAATACACTACTATACAAAACGCCATTATAAACTATATACTACTATACACTACAATACTATAGACAACACTAGTATACACTGCACTACTATACACTGCACTACTATACACTACACGATAAATGACTTTAGACTACACTGTTATACAGTAAGCTACTACGATGCAATACACTATACTATTTACTACACTAAACACTATGCTACACACGACACTATAAACTACACTACTATACAACATGCGATTAAACACTATGCTCCTACTATACACGACATTACTATACACTACATTACTATAGACTACAGAGAGCCGAAAATAACAACTAACATCTGAAGGTGGTATGATGGGAACATCACAGCCAGTTATAACTTGAACTGGTTGATAATGTCCTACCCATCTTTTCGATTGAAGTTGTGTCTGTGTCTATATATGTGAATGGCTTCATGAACGAATTTAGTCTTTTTATCTTGTTTTTTGGTTATTTCTTTGAAACTATCTACGTGACTTTACCGAAAGACACAAATAATGTGGATTCCTGAAGTCACGAAAGCTTTAAGCCAAGATTTATACACTATACTACTTTACACTACACTAATATAGACTACACTGCACTATTATAAACTACACTACTCGAGACTACACTATACACTACTACACTACACTACTTCACACTACACTACTATACACTACACTACTATACACTACACTACTATACACTACACTACTGGGCACTACACTATACACTACACTACTATACACTACACTATACATTACAATACACTGCACACTACATTACTATACACTACACTACTATTGACTACACTACTGTACACTACAATATACACTACTATACACGACACTTAATATACACTATACACTACTCGACACTACGCTATACACTACTATACACTGCACTACTATACACTACACTATACACTACTATACACTACACTACTGGACACTGCACTATATACTACTATACACTACTCGAGACTACTATACACTACACTATTATAGTTTACACTCCGATACGCTATACTACCAAACACTACACTATTGGACACTACACTATACACTACACGACTAAATACTATACACTATACTATACTAAAATGAAAACAGATTTCTTTAGAACTGATTGTTGTTGTTGTGTTGCCCTTTCCCGCACTGATAAAAGCAGCCACAAAGACCAAACCTCGTGCTGTTCATGCCGTCTTGAAGCTGAGTCAGCCGAGCTACTTCGGCAAAAATGGGCAGTCTGGCAAACCCGAAGGTACTGACTCGTCTCATCAACAGCCTTAACACTTGTGCGGCGTGCTCGCCGGCAAAAAATAAAAAAACGGTGCAGACTTCTCCAAGTCAAGCAGAAGGTCCTGGAAACCTGTCCGCAAGCCCGGTGCAGCCCAGAAACCTCCAGCATTCAAGCAACTACTCGTTACACCTAATCGAGTTGCGATTTACCTGGTGAAGGTCACCGGGTCTAGGCGCATGAGCATCACGGACGCCATGAGCGGCAGAAATACCTGCATGGTGAAACGAAACACCGTCGCGAGCCTTTCGCCACTGCCGAAGTGCCGAGCACTTCAGAAAGAGAAGCATGGTAAAGCTCCTGGCCTAGACAACGTATCCCACTGAACTACTGAAACATCTTGGATCCCGCGTGCAGGACTGGCGAGCAAGTTTCTTCTCCCGAATCGTGGATAAGGGCCAAAGTCAACCGCAGTGCCAAAGAGGTCCACTCAAAGAACATTTATTTATATATCGATATATATATATAATTTGTGAATGTATCTGGTGTTTTGACTGTGGGCAATCAAGTTAAATATAGAATTTGCCAAATGAATAAATCTCCACTATGGCGCAATGCCCGTGGTCAGTCTGGATCAGGGGTCGGGAACCTATGGCTCGCGAGCCAGATGTGGCTCTTTTGATGATTGCATATGGCTCGCAGATAAAACAAAATATTCTCACTTGTTTTAATCCATCCATCGATTTTTCACTGCGCATGTCCTGTTCAGGGCTGCAGGAGCAATTGTCCATTATTTTAATTGGATGATACTGGCCTACGTTTGCCGTTGCTGGGTAAAACAGGTAAACGCCCCCTTTTGAATCAGTCTGAGACTGCGTCTGCTCGGTCATTAGCTCAAAGCTAACCCTTCGACGAAGAAGATGGCGAAAAGAAAAAAAGACGACGAGTATCGTACATTTCAGGACGAATGGACCGAAGAATTCGCCTTTGTGGAGAGAGCGGGTTCTGCGGTGTGTCTAATTTGCAATGACAAAATTACATCGTTGAAACGGTCGAATGTAAAGCGGCACTTCGACACGCGCCACGCTACCTTTGCATCAAAATACCCTGCGGGAGACAGCAGAAAGAAAGCGTGCCAAGAGCTTCTGAGCAGGGTGCAAGCTAGCCAGCAGCAACTCCGCGTATGGACCCGGCAAGGTGACTATAATTCGGCTAGCTTTGCTGGTTCTTTAGCAATAGTGAGGAACGGAAAACCATTCACAGATGGCGAGTATGCTAAAACGTTCATGCTGGATGTAGCCAATGAACTTTTTGATGATCTTCCGAACAAAGACAAGATAATCAAACGGATACAAGACATGCCTCTGTCAGCAAGAACTGTTCATGATCGTACCATCGTGATGGCAAACAAAGTGGAGGAAACGCAAGTGAAGGACATAAATGCAGCGCCGTTCTTTTCTCTGGCTTTGGATGAGTCAACAGACGTGAGCCATTTGTCGCAGTTCAGCGTGATTGCAAGATATGCTGTTGGTGACACACTGCGCGAAGAAAGTCTTGCTGTTCTGCCATTAAAAGGGTCCACAAGAGGTGAGGATTTATTCAAGTCTTTCATGGAGTTTGCTCAAGAAAAAAGTCTACCTATGGATAAACTTCTCTCAGTGTGTACTGATGGTGCTCCGTGTATGGTGGGGAAAAACAAAGGATTTGTGGCGCATCTCCGTGAACATGAAAATAGACCCATCCTAAGTTTCCATTGCATTATACACCAGGAGGCACTTTGTGCTCAGATGTGTGACAGGCAGTTTGGCGAAGTGATGTCGCTGGTCATTCGTGTGATCAACTTTATTGTTGCCCGAGCCTTAAATGATCGCCAATTTAAAACACTGCTGGATGAAGTTGTAAATAACTATCCTGGTCTGCTTTTGCACAGCAATGTGCGTTGGTTGTCAAGAGGGAAGGTGCTTAGCCGTTTTGCGGCTTGCCTGAACGAAATCCGGACTTTCCTTGAAATGAAAGGCGTCGGGCATCCTGAGCTAGCCGACACCGAGTGGCTCCTCAAGTTTTACTATCTCGTAGATCTGACTGAACATCTGAACCAGCTCAACGTGAAAATGCAAGGCATTGGAAATACAGTGTTATCCCTTCAACAAGCTGTATTTGCTTTTGAAAACAAGCTGGAGCTTTTCATCACGGATCTTGAAACAGGTCGTTTACTACATTTTGAAAAACTGAGCCAATTTAAAGATGCATGCACAGCAAGTGAGCCCATTCAAAACCTTGATCTCCACCAGCTAGCTGGCTGCACATCCAGTCTCCTACAGTCCTTCAAAGCACGCTTTGGAGAATTTCGTGAGCACACTCGTCTTTTTAAGTTCATCACCCATCCAAACGAGTGTTCACTGAACACAGCCGACCTGAATTACATCCCTGGTGTCTCCGTCAGAGATTTTGAAGCAGAAGTGGCTGACCTGAAGGCCTCAGACATGTGGGTGAATAAGTTCAAGTCACTGAATGATCCAGACTCTGGATCCATGAATGCACCATGACAAGATCTCTTACCTTTAAGGCGACGGCAGTATAGTGGGATTGCGATGAGAACCAGCAATGTGACTATGAGGAGAGGAACCCAGTAGGTGTAATGAGGAAGGGTGTGAATGTCGTTTCCATCTCCTGGAGAGAGAAAAAAAAAGTCACATTCGCACTCAATTGCAAAGCAAACAACCCAAAAAAAATTGCTTTCACATGCACGGGGTTTATATCACGAAGTCAACCAAGATCGACCTTAGAACCACGATCGTTCCTAAAAAAAAATGGATCTTCAAGCGTGTGTCATTGCTGTTGCACGTGTGCTTAAGACGTACGATGGAATTTCTTCCCGTTGATAACTTTTGTAATTCGAAAAAAAGGTTTTACCCTATCTGGCAAATAAAACAGGGGAGGTGTTAAGATGTTCCAACACCAAAGAGACGAAACCTTTCGCAAGGAATCAAGTCACTGCATTAACCACACACGGTAAATGTGGTGAACGTGCAAACGAACATGGCTCTGATAATATAAATGATGCATTGTCCTTGAAACTAATTGGCCTACACCAGAGACTGCAGCCTTCTTTAGGTGCCTCGTCTCATCACCAGCGTCAGACCAGAAAATGCCTAAAGGCGAGCAGCACAAGGCCAATGCACTATCAGGGCAATGCACTATCAGGGCAATGCACTATCAGGGCAATGCACTATCAGGGCAATGCACTATCAGGGCAACGCTCTATCAATCAGGGCAATGCCCTATCAGGGCAATGCACTATCAATCAGGGCAATGCACTATCAATCAGGGCAATGCACTATCAATCAGGGCAATGCACTATCAGGGCAATGCACTATCAGGGCAATGCACTATCAATCAGGGCAATGCACTATCAATCAAGGCAATGCACTATCAGGGGATTTATAGCTCGGGTGAAGAGCTACAAAATGGGATTTTTTTGATACTGGCAAAAAGGTCCCATTTTGTAACTTTTTTGTTGATTTGAAGCTTTCTTGACTGCAGGAATCCATACTCTTTGGTTCTTTCGGTAAAGTCACGTAGTTAGAAATAAAATAATATATTAATGTTATTCATATTATATTACTTTTTAAAATAAAAAAAAAAACATTATTTATATTATTTTTTAAAATAAAATAAAAACGAATATAATATTATTTATATTATATTATTTTTTGTTTTATTTTATTTTTCTACCGACGTGAAAGAATGAAAGAGTATAACTTTTGTGTTGTTTGTGTTTTTTTGGTTTGGTGCAATATTCTTAATTTGTTTACTCGTTTAAATTTTTTCGGCAGTAGATGTGGGGGATTTTAATTTGCTTGCTATGTTTGTGTGTGTTCACAATAGGTGGGGAGTGGTGGTGTAGCGGTTAGCGCTACGCTGCACTACGAACCCGACGACCCGAGTTGGATTCCTGATCACGGCCAACACTAGTGACCATTATCTGAACCGGTACTGGACCTCCCCTAGGTGTACTCAGCCTTAAATAAGCAACTGGTGCGGTGTGCAGTAAACATTGCCCCTGGGGAGACAAAGGCGGCCGGGCGTGGTGCTGGCCACCCACCCCATTATGTGCCGTGCTGGCCTTCATAGGTGCTTGCTAACAGCACTTGCTCCAACAATCTGTTAATCTTTGTCTTTACGGGGGAGTCTTCGTCTTTGTCATGATAATTATTACTTTGGTATTCTTTGGGTCTTTCGATAAAGTCACGTAGACAGGTTAAAAGCAAATAACAAAATCTACGACGTTATTTTTTCTTTTTTTCTGATGATGGCCGCTTGCGTTGCGATCGAAACGTCGTAGTTTTTTTTGTTATTTTCTTTCAACCTATCTACGTGACTTTTCCGAAAGACCCGAAGGATATGAATTCCTGGAGTCACGAAAGCTTTAAGTAAATATTTAAGTTACTCTGGGTTAGATCGCATAAGTTTAAATGTGGTGTGGTTAACCCCGCCACCCACACCCGACCCAGCCAACCAGCAAGAGGTTTGCGGCCATTTTGAGTTTGTTGTCTTTAGCGCTGTCAAGGACAACTGACCGAAAAAAACCACGTGAGGTGAACCGACCCCAAGAGGCGCTGTGATTACAATGAAACCGCTGTTCCTGCAGAAGCATGGCGTGGACATCAGTGTGTGCGAGGGACTCCTATTCCATAGCCTCGTATCTAACCCGTAAACCTGAACTCTGAACCCCAGTATAAACTGAAACGCTACAAGATGGGTTATATCGCATGCATATAAATGCATAGCTATCAACCCATACGGTTTACCCCATAATCTTGTACGGGGAAATTGAACTTTCAGATCCATACGGCATACAGCCGTTTTAATAAGGGCAATAAAAATGAAATGTTTGTGTTGTGGTACCACCGCGGCGGAGCAGCTCCGTCGGGGGCCGTATTCACCACCGTGACACCGCCGCAGGGGAGTGACGACGCCGACGCGGCGCGCCCCTCGCCCACTACCCCCCACATGTATACACACACACACCCCACGTAGGGCCGGGAGGGAAGGTCACCTGGCCGACGGGTTTTTTATCCAGAAGCCCCTAATGGGATCAAGCTTCATGGTTTCCCCGCGGCCGGGAAAAATTTGGCGATCTACCCCAGAGGCTGACGCGCACCGCGGCGCCGTGACCTGACATTAAAGTTGCGTGGTCACGGCGGAGGCCGTGGAGCCACCGCGAGCGAAACCGCACACACACGGCACGGGGCGTGTGAACCCCGATATGCCTGTGGTTATAGGTGGGATTAGGAACTGGATCCCTGTGGTTATAGGTGGGATTAGGAACTGGATCCCTGTGGTTATAGGTGGGATTAGGAACTGGATCCCTGTGGTTATAGATGGGATTAGGAACTGGATCCCTGTGGTTATAGATGGAATTAGGAACTGGATCCCTGTTGTTATAGATGGAATTAGGAAATGAATGCCCTTGATTATAGGTGAGCTCCCGAGTCCAAATAACAACAGGATAGGAGCATTCAGGCCTCTGCATAGACAGGGCGGCGCGGGGCGGAAGCGTCTGAATGTCTTTTGTTCTAGGAAAGGTCACGGATCAGCATGTGACAAAGGACGAAAATAACTCAGCCTCTGAATGGACAGGGCGGTACGGAGCGTGGGAACCACGGTACGCCTTTGTCATAAGTAATATTACAGATCTGAATATGAAGGAGCACGGGTGGGCAGGCGCCAGAGCAACGGAATGCCTTTAGGCTGTATAAAATACGGAGGCTTAGCGTAGCAAGAGACAGTCTTCTTCAAAAATCATCGCGGTCCACGAAGGAGGGGAGTCAGCCGTTCGAGACGTCCGCGGGACGAACTTCAGCGCAGCCAGGCTCAACGCTCTACGGATCGCTTTCCTACAGCTTCCAGCGCAGCAGAGTGGAAGTACGTGTGAGTAAGAGGCAGAGGTAAGTTTGGGCTATTTGATCGAGGGTAGAAAGCAGAGCGATAGGCAGAGGAAATACAGTCTAGGATCCCAAGGGGAATAGGCTGACATCCACGGACCCACACAATTACGCGTAGCTTAACGGGTCGCTCGCGGTAAATAAAATAACTGGTAGGGGAATAAACTTGTGTCGTGTGGTCCTTTGGAGGGTGAAGAGGAGGGTGGAGAGTGTTTTGTGTTCGCGCGCATACGCGGCTGTTTTGCGGCGAATAAGGGACTAGAGCGTGCTTGGTGTCCGTACCTGGACGATAGTTTACAGTATTGTTCAGCACGCGCGTGCCTACACGACTAATTTCGGTGGTGCCCAGCGCTCGCGTACCTGGGCAATCGCCTACAGTAGCGCTTAGCGGTCGCGCGCCTGTGTGACGGGGTGGCGGTCGCGCACCCGCGCGATTGTCTAATAGCGAAATCGGAGCAAAGTAATCGCGGCGTGTTTGTTTTTGCTTAAGCGCGTGGAGCGTGGGTGGGAGGGAATCCCACGGGGGCGCGCCGCGCCTGTTCATTCCCGTGCAGGACGGGGTTTTACTTTGTGAGCGCGCTCACCGCGACACGCCGCCGTTGAACAGGGTAGCGCATCGCAATACGAGCCGCTAATTAAACTACGCAAACGCGGTCGACATCCCAGGCAGAGGTACAGGGGGGTGAGACATTAGGGGTCGGTAGTCTGGACCTGACAGAGCAGCCGGGGGGTAGCGGTATGAATGGAACGGGGGAGTCGGTGGGCAACGGCCCCGACAATTCAGTAATGGCGGGGGACGGTAGCCTCCACAGTGTCTATTTGTTTGTATTTTTCCATTATGATGGGACTTTTTAGGATGAGCATTGAGATTTATAAGGGCACGGGGTGACCAATAAAGTCTGAATTGGTATGTAATAAGGTAGACACTGATGAGGTGTTAACAGGTGTATAAATGTGTCGTTAATACACCACCACCCCCACCCGACATAGCCAATCAGTAAGGAGTTTGTCACGTAAAATAAAACGTGTACAATTCGTGGCTATATTCTTAGTTTTTTCGGTAAAGTCACGTTGAAGAGAATTTTTTTTTTTATTGTTTTATATATATTTTGTTATTTTGTTGTTTCTCTTCAACGTGACTTTACCGAAAAAACTAAGAATATGAATTACTGCAGTCACGAAAGCTTTAAATCAAAATTCGTGGCTAGTTCAGGACTAACTGATTGTTGTGTGTTGGGGAGTTAAACCCAATGGGACATTTACAATTTGAGTAGCCGTGAAGTTTCGCTGGTGATTACAACAAACAGCAGCCTCGTCGGGCAAATTGTGCAGGAATTCCGTGCGCTGAAGTGAGCTGAAGTCATAAACCAAATCAGCACGGTTTATGTTCACGTGACAAACAAACCCTCACTGATTGTCTGTGTCGGGTGGTGGTGGTTGTGGTGGTGGGGTAACGACAAATTTATACTTATGCAATTGAAGCCCAAAATAACTTGTATTATGAATAACATTGGTTGAGAAAGTCTACCACTTCATGTTGAACTGCCTTGTGTGTTGAAATTCGAGATGAGGGTTCTGTGTGGGATAAGACTATGGTTTTGTATGGGATGACTTGAGGGTTCTGTATGGGATGAAACGAGGTTTCTATATGGGATGAGACGAGGGTACTGTATGGGATGAGATGAGGGTTCTGTATAGGATGAGACACACACACATACCCCCACGTAGGGCCTCGTGGGGGGGGGTCACCTGGCACCCTGGGTTTTCACCCGAGAGCCCCCCTTGTGTGGATGTCTCACGGTTTCCCAGTGCCAAGAGTTTGGCCCCCCCAGGCCGAATTGCACTGCGGCCCCGTGAATTAGCTTAAAATTGCATGGCCACGACGAGCAAACCGCAATGGGAACACCCCCCAGCCCAGGCAAATAGGGCCAAGGGAGAGCAAAACGGCCACTGAGCAACGCGGGGAGCACGTGGAGTAGGACGAGCGCGTAGACCATGGATCAGGGAGCAAGGGAGAGCCACATGCCAGGTAAGGGCGGGGCATCGGGGGAAAATTCCTGGGCTGGATAAAGCCAAACCTGACCCGGAGCACGAGGAGTAGGACGGGCACGTAGACAATGGGTGAGGAAGCAAAAGGAGCTGATCAACAGCAGCATTAGGGGGCTCTCTACGGGGGGGGGGGGGGGGCACGGGTAAGCGCCCGACTGGCTGGGCGGATTATGAAGAATGCTGAGGCACGCAGGGAAGCGCCCCGATTGGCTGAGAGGGAAACCCAGCTTGGTCAGGGATCTCTTTGATGTGGGAAGGCATAAAAGAGGGGAAGAGGACAACCGTAGCGGTTCTCCTCGAGTCAGCGAGCGACGCAGTCGGACTTCCAGCCGCTCGAGCATCCGAGAGACGCTGGCGAGCGCAGCTGGGACACGACCCAGGCAGAGACCTCCTGGACCCTCATCCCTCCCGACTCCCAGCACGTCCGTGAGAAACCGTGAGTACGCTCGTGGGGTGAGGAATAGCGCGAGGATTCCCGGAGGGGTTGGGTACAGCTAGGTGGGACGCTGCTCGCTAGAGGGTTTATTTTGCTCCGGGCCACGCAGGGCTTTTCTTTAGGTAACACATTCATAAACTTAAAAGCACAGAGTGACAACGCTGCGTGATTTCTGTGCGCGCGGAGAGAGCGTAGGGGTGGTGTGAGTACGTGCATACGTGTGGAAAGCACGGGCAATCAGTCCTAAAACGATCGTTGTCGTTCGCGTGCGTGCGTGCGATCGCGTGCGTATTTACCTAGCCCGTTTTACGCAGTGGGATTACGTAGCGACGAGCGGCTTAGGGGGGTCAGCGTGGTGTGCAATTCGAGCGTGTGTGCGCATCGCTGGCCGAGCGCTTGAGCTTGCAATTGTGTTTGCACAGGGGATTAGCGCGCGTATATCCCCATCGATCCGATCACCTGTGCCCGCGTGTCTGCGCTCGCCCATACGTGTGACGATCGGCGTGCATTCAATCATAAACGACTGCTTGCGCTCGCCACGCGTGCCTGCACAGCGGATTAGCGCGCAAATATTATCATCTACACGATCGTCATTGTGCCCGGGGCGTGCGAGTGAGGCTGCACTGCGTAGTGACTCCTTGGCTGCGCCCGCATCCACGCAGCCGCCGCGCTATTTTTTGCACGAGCAGTAGGGAGCCACACGAGCAGGCACGCGCATGCACACAGCAGCCACCGCAGCAGGTACGGGTGGCTGCGCGTGCACGTGGTGAGGAACAGGTACGGTTGTGCACGTGCACGCAGCCACCGCAGCGTGAGTGGTGGTTTACACGGGGGAGGGAGTCAAGATAACGCGAGGCGGTGGAGAGCCAGCCACGAGTCATGCCCCACAGAAAGGCCCCGGATGAGGGGGAGGCCGATCACTCGATCGGTGGCAGCCTGGCGGGAAGGAGAAGAGGAGGAAGGAGGAAAGGAGGAGGGGAGCATCAGCCCCCACAGAGGGTTCTGTATGCCATGAGATGAGGGTTCTGAATGGCATGACGTGAGGGTTCTGTATGGGATAAGACGAGGGTTCTGTATGGGATGAGACGAGGGTTCCATATGGGATGAGATGAGGGTTCTGGAAGAGAGAGATGCAAACTCAAAATATACAGCGGGCGTGAGGTGTGTGATTGATCCCACGACCTCTTCCATACAGTACTAGGCGAGGTAGTTCACATCCCTTATCACCACAAGAGGTTACGTGGTGACCCGCTTAAACTGCATTCTCTGTCACGTTCATTGTTTCCCCCTTAGTCCATTCAATGACATCAAAGTCACCGTGAGGATAACATTGAGGTAAACAAAATATATTTGTGCCTCGCAGCAAGATCCTATTTGGTTTGCTTTTTGACTGGTGGAGTTTGTATTCTCTCCCCTTGTTCTGCATGGGCTACCCCCTGGTTTCCTCCATAGATCACTGATATTTCTCGCCAAAAAATCCAACAACCCAATGCCGAAAATGTGCCCACAATTGAGGCTTTCCTGGGTTAAAATAAGCGAAACAAAAACAAGACAATACAAATTAAACAGTCATCCTCTCCGTACCGGGCGCCGCTGTCGTCACCGTCACGACGTCGCTCCTCTCCGTCGTCGTATTTGTCTCTCCCGTGCCCGCGGTTTTTGAGACCTCACAGGCGACTCTGTCCCCGTGCCGAGCGTCGTGCAGGGTCCACGTCTCCGTGTGGACCCCGGCCGCTGTGAGGTTCCCCCCCGAGCTCGCGTCCCCCCTGAGCCACGAGTAGAAGATGGGAGGGGAGCCCTGGTGCACGAGGCAGCGCAGACGCAGGGAGCCTCCTGCCACGTGCACCACGGGGTCACGTGGGGAGACCTCGGGCTTGGACACGGAAACTTAGGACACACGGACATAGAGAGAGACGTGGAAATTACTAAGTGTTGTAGTGTACTCTTTGGTTCTTTCGGTAAAGTCACGTAGGTAGAAAAATAAAACAAAATACAAATAATTGATAATTTTGTTTTATTTTTCTACCTACGTGACTTTACCGAAAGAACCAAAGAGTATGGATTCCTGCAGTCACAAAAAATTCAAATCAAGATGTTTATAGTGTAGTATATAGTGTCGTGTATAGTAGTGTAGTGTATCGCAGTGTATAGTGTAGTGTATCGAGACAGGGAGCCTCCTCCCTCCTGCACCAAGGGGTGCAGGATGGAGGAGAGATACAAACACAAAGATGCCCCTTCATATCATGTAAGAGACTGTTTGGGCAAGTTCTGTTAGTAGCGAGCAGGGACTATGAAGGCAAGGACAGCACATGAGGCATCATCGACTTATCGATGATCCGCATGCTCAGTGATAATAACACTTTCGTGGCTCCCGCCCCAGAGAAGACTCAGCCCACTAAGTGGATGATAGCAGAGCCACAGCCAATCAGACATCAATAAAACTCGGCCCACTCAGTGGATAATAGCAGAGACACAGTCAATCAACGTAAAAAAAAAAACTCCGCCCCCCACTGTTGCGACTACTGTACTGTAGAGGCGATCGCGTGGACTTCGGATAAACCGGAGCAACATATTTGTTCGGTTTAAGCACAGTGTGACTTGTAATACGCGTTTCCAAGAAAAAAACAATGTTGTATAATTGTTTTTAGATGATTAACTTGGGCTTAAGGGAACAACGTGACTTTACCGAAAGAGCTAAGAATATGAATATCCCCCCCAAGTTATTAATTTACGTCAAAATCTCACAAGTGCTGCAAGTCGGATAAAGCGCACATGGACAGTCGAAAGTCTACGCAGCATTATAGTAGAACTGACTGTACTCCAAACCTTTCTATCGCACGGGGGGCTGGGGGGAGGCGGGGGGGTTACGGTCTCAAAAATGGCCGCTATCGGCAAAATCCGTGATCTGCCATCTCAAAGGCATTCATGGGAAAATTAAAAACTGAGAGGGGCGTGCTTAGTTCACGGTTCTTAATACGACACCCGCCCCTTCTAAAGTTTGATACGATATATACGCCACGTCAACCCAACACGTTACACGGGAAAGTATATTTAAGTGAAATGTGACCGATGTTTGCCGTGATGTTAAATATGTAACTTGTAAGAGCAAATGGAAAGACTGAAAACAATTAATGGAGTGTACAGTATCGGAACCATGTGCCTCAGCTGACCTGGGAATGCATGGGAATTCTCCATTAAGAGATATGAGTCTGTGCATAGTAGTGTCGTGTTAAACAGTGCATTAGTTATAGTAGTGTAGTAGTGTATAGTAGTGTGGTGAACAGTCGTGTATAGTGTAGGTGTATAGTAGTGTATAGTAGTGTAGTGTATAGTGTATATTCGTTTATAGTGGAGTGTATAGTAGTGTAGTGTATAGTAGTGTAGTGTATAGTAGTGTAGTGAATAGTGTAGTGTATAGTAATGTAGTGTATAGTAGTGTTTAGTGTAGTGTATAGTGTAGTGTATGGTAGTGTAGTGTATATTGACCTGGTCAAGGCCTATGATACCATCAGAAGGCCTGGGGTCTGGGTTGTTCTTCGTGATTTTGGAGTACCTGACCCTCTGCTCACGATCATTAAGGACCTTCATGATGGTGAGCGGGCCCGAGTAAAACTACGTGGCCGGGAGTCAGAGCCATTCCCTGTACACCTTGGGGTGCGACAGGGATGTCTTCAGGCTCCCACATTATTTCACATCTATTTTGACCACGTAGTTCGTGAAGCCTTCAATAGCTGTACCGGGGGAATCTCCATATGGTACAGATATAATGGGAGGCTGATCGATGCCCGGGTGCGGTCAAGGAATGGCTCCCTATTGATCAACCATATTATGTATGCCGATGATTTGGTAATAGCTGCTCATTCAGAGGAGGAGTTGGAGGCGCTGCTGCTGAGACTGGAGCGTCCAACTAAGAGATGGGGCCTTACCATCAGCCCCACCAAAACTAAGCACCTGCCTGGGTATTTTGTACCATCGGACACTCCACCCCCACAACTCCCAATCGGTGATGGGGCAGTTGTGGAGAGAGTGGAGAGTTTCCCATACCTGGGCAGTGTGCTTATGACCGGCTCCAGTTTAACAGCAGAGGTCTCACTCCGAATCAGTCAAGCGGCAATATATTTTCATCGGTTATGTAACACTGTGTGGAAGCTACCTGGTCTGTCGCTCCGCACGAAGCTTCAGTACTTCTCGGCCACGGTCATTCCCTCCCTTCTCTACGCTTGCGAAACGTGGACCCCCCTAATGAAACATCTTCGCGGGTTAGAAACATTTAGGCTAGTCTGCCTACGATCCATCCTGGGTTTAACCAGGCTGGATTGTGTGAGGAGCTCACAAATCCTTGAAAGATCTGGGCAAGGTCCCATCGGTGAGCTCCTCTGGCAGGCAAGGCTGCGTTGGCTGGGTCATGTAGCCCGCATGCCCAGCCACCGCATGCCGAAACAGCTTTTGTTCGGCCGGATCGAGGGGGCTAAACGGGTGTGGCACGGGCTAGAGAAGAGATGGAGTGATGTGGTTCGGGAGGACGTGGAGCTGAGTGGATTTGCCGATGACTGGTACCAGCGGTGTCAAGATCGGCCTCTGTGGAGGAAGCTCGTGAAGGACGCTACTGGGTGGTTGGAGATAGTCACCCTCCAACAACAATGGAGGGCGGAGGAGCGACGCTCACAACAGCGAGTGGAGCGCCGGGTGGCTAAAGCACAGCAGGTTGGCACAGTAGGGGGCACAGGTGGTGCATCAGCCAGTCATCTCAGTCATCTCAGTCAGTCGACACATGGCACCTGGATCTGCCCCGTGACCTCCGGCCAGCGGGCGTTCGACACTTCACGTGGCCTCAAGCGTCGTGGTGACGTCACCACCACTTAGTGGCGAATGGCGGTTGTTGTTGTTGTATAGCAGTGTAGTGTATAGTAGTGTAGTGAATAGTGTAGTGTATAGTAGTGTATTGTATAGTAGTGTAGTGAATATCAGTGCATAGTGCAGTGTATAGGAGTATAGTGAATAGTGTAGTGTACAGTAGTGTAGTGTATAGTAGTGTAGTGAATAGTGTATTGTATAGCAGTTTAGTGTATAGTGTAGTGTATAGTGTAGTGTAGAGTAGTGTAGTGTATAGTGTAGTAGTGCTTGTACTCTTTCGCAAGGGAAAGGGAGGTCTAGACCACATTACCCAACACGCTGCTGTAGTGTATAGTGTAGTGTATAGTAGTGTAGTGTATAGTAGTGTATAGTAGTGTAGTGTATAGTAGTGTATAGTAGTGTAGTGTATAGTAGTGTATAGTAGTGTAGTGTATAGTAGTGTATAGTAGTGTAGTTTATAGTAGTGTATAGTAGTGTAGTGTATAGTAGTGTATAGTAGTGTAGTGTATAGTAGTGTAGTGTATAGTAGTGTATAGTGTAGTGTATAGTGTAGTGTATAGTAGTGTATAGTGTAGTAGAGCTTGGAGTCTTTTGCAAGGGAAAGGGAGGTCTAGACCTCACTTCTCAACACCCTGCTGTAGTGTATAGTGTAGTGTATAGTAGTGTAGTGTATAGTAGTGTATAGAAGTGTAGTGTATAGTAGTGTAGTGTATAGTAGTGTATAGTAGTGTAGTATCTAGCAGTGTAGTGTATAGTAGTGTAGTGTATAGTAGTGTAGAGTATAGTAGTGTATAGTAGTGTAGTGTATAGTAGTGTAGTGTATAGTGTAGTGTATAGTAGTGTAGTGTATAGTAGTGTATAGTGTAGTAGTGCTTGGAGTCTTTCGCAAGGGTAAGGGAGGTCTAAACCACACTTCTCAACACCCTGCTGTAGTGTATAGTGTAGTGTATAGTAGTGTAGTGTATAGTAGTGTATAGAAGTGTAGTGTATAGTAGTGTAGTGTATAGTAGTGTATAGTAGTGTAGTGTATAGTAGTGTAGTGTATAGTAGTGTATAGTAGTGTAGTGTATAGTAGTGTATAGTGTAGTGTATAGTAGTGTATAGAAGTGTAGTGTATAGTAGTGTAGTGTATAGTAGTGTAGTGTATAGTAGTGTAGTGTATAGTAGTGTATAGTAGTGTAGTGTATAGTAGTGTAGTGTATAGTAGTGTATAGTAGTGTAGTGTATAGTAGTGTAGTGTATAGTAGTGTAGTGTATAGTAGTGTAGTGTATAGTAGTGTATAGTGTAGTAGTGCTTGGAGTCTTTAGCAAGGGAAAGGGAGACCTAGACCACACTACTCAACACGCCGCCGTTGCAGTGACTCTCCCCAGAATGAGCGGGCTGAGAAACGAACAAACGAACAGTACCATACTGTACACGTCAACCTGAAAATGAAGACAAGGATATCATTGACTCAGCGCTCTCACCTTCCATAAGTCTATCATTACATTTTAACTTTTTAGCTCATCTAAATCAAATTGATTTATTTTACTTTTTTATTTGTACCAGGTAAGGCCCCACTGAGCTATGCAGCTCTTTTTGTAGAAGCCACCTGACTATCACGAATGATGGCTGCTCAACGAAATGGCTTGGAAACTTAAAGCAGCCAAATACTATAAACACGTTACGTTGATTCTAAACGTGGAGCGAAACACCGGAGGACTTGGAGAAAAATCCACGCGAACACGGGAAGAGACATGCAGCCTCCAATTTTACAGGCGCCAGGGTCGGGATCAAACCCACGCCCTCCTGTATACCAGGCGACGTAGTTAACATTTCCTAGCCACCATGGCGTCACGGTTGGGATCGAACCCAAAACCTCCTGTATACCAGGCGAGGTAGTTAACATTTCCTAGCCACCATGGCGTCACGGTTGGGATCGAACCGACAACCTCCTGTATACCAGGCGAGGTAGTTAACTTCTCGCTACCCATGGCACCCAACTCTTAGTCGTATGGCTGCCTCGGTGTAGCATCATCATCATCATCACGCAAGGCATTGGGATGCTGTTGGAT